AACACTATTTTAATGTGATGTAGTTACACATACATGTGCTATAACAGTAAACTATGCATAATTACATAGCAACTAAACCTAACCCGAACCTTAACCCTATAGTAAATACATGTAGCCCTATTTTGGTGCTTTGCTCTGTTATTTTTCTTCCACAGAACACAAAAGGAGAAGTTTAGCAGAATGTTCATGCTGCTCTTTTCCATATAATGAAAGTGAATTTACATTACTTTTCAATTAATGCAGTATGTCATGTTAAAATAGAGTCAATGCCTTTAAAATCCAATTTTTTGAAGCCAAATTAGTGCCATCATTTTTTTTATGTTGATTTGAAGCGTCAGTTTTTTATTATTATTATTACTACAGTCAAATCTGAACACAGAGAAAGCATTTTGTTACACAAAACGTTAAAATTCTATAAAAATGTAACAAAAATGAACAGGAATGTTTTATCAGAGCTTAATCCTTCTGGGTCTGATCTGATTTCAACCTCTTATTTCAGTTTTCTGACTCGTTTTGGCTATATGGTTATAGCCATACCAATTCATTTGAGTATGTATAATTCTGTATGTGTGTGTCTGTGAGTGTGTGTAAATAAGTGTGTGTGAGTGGATGTGTTGATTTTGCACTCTTGATGTTTTAGAGTTTCACCCCATCATTGCTGTCCACTTTTTTACTGCATAGTAGTTGAAATATTGTTTTTATTTTACATAGTTGCAGTGTTACAGTCACACCAGTCCATAGGTGTGTGTGTGTGTGTACAAGTGTGTGTATGCTTGCATGTGTGAGTTGGTGTGTTGATTTTGCACTCTTGATGTTTTAGATTTTCACCCCGTCATTGCTGTGTATATTTGTAGATTGTACACACAAAAATTCTCAGAATTTTTGTTGATTTCCCATTCATTTCCTATGCTTGGTCATTTTTGACCGAAGATCACAAGTGTGACTATTTTTTTACGACTACTTAGCCTCCTCGAATCATGCCCTTAATTTTTTTGTGTGTTTTTTCACATTCCAAATGCCATAAAAGTCACCAAGTTTTGTACCATTCTGAAGAAGCTGTTATTTAAAAAAAAAATCAAAACTGAAAACAAAATTATTCGGTCAAAAGTGAATATACTTTCTTATTTTTTTCTTTTTGATTTTAGAGTGAAATGTCTTTTATTGTTTTTATTTTACATAGTTGCAGTGTTACAGTCACACCAGTCCATAGGTGTGTGTGTGTGTGTGTACAAGTGTGTGTATGCTTGCATGTGTGAGTTGGTGTGTTGATTTTGCACTCTTGATGTTTTAGATTTTCACCCCGTCATTGCTGTGTATATTTGTAGATTGTACACACAAAAATTCTCAGAATTTTTGTTGATTTCCCATTCATTTCCTATGCTTGGTCATTTTTGACCGAAGATCACAAGTGTGACTATTTTTTTACGACTACTTAGCCTCCTCGAATCATGCCCTTAATTTTTTTGTGTGTTTTTTCACATTCCAAATGCCATAAAAGTCACCAAGTTTTGTACCATTCTGAAGAAGCTGTTATTTAAAAAAAAAATCAAAACTGAAAACAAAATTATTCGGTCAAAAGTGAATATACTTTCTTATTTTTTTCTTTTTGATTTTAGAGTGAAATGTCTTTGTCTCTGTCTGTGCATCAGTCAGTTTGTATTTATGTAAATGAGTGTTTTTTTAATTGGAGTGTGTGTGTGTGTGTGTGTGTATCAGCCCGTCCCGTGACTGCTGTAGTCAAACACTACAGAGCATCAGAGGGTTAAAAATAACAATTGTGTGTGAAGAACAGACAAAAATAGAAATTTACTGAAAATCCTATTTGCATATAGGTATATTCAAACTTCTGCAATCAGTTATGTACGTGCGGACATTTTGAAGCAATATTTAGTTCATTAAAAATTAATTAAGTTAATTTAATTAATTAATCATTCTTAATATAGAATTTTTGATTTTAATTTTTGATTGCAAGTATTTATTTATTTATTTTAGAAGTAATTTAGGTCACACTTTATTTTAAGGTCCAATTCTCGCCATTAGCAAACCATGACTTTAGCCTCAATAAACTCCTAAATTGCTGCGCATTAATAGTTAGTAAGGTAGTTGTTAAGTTTAGGTATTGGGTAAGATTAGGAATGTAGAATATGGTTATGCAGAATATGTGAATACTAATGAACTGCTAATATGTTATTAATAGGCATGCTAATTAGCAACTAGTTAATAGTGAGAATTGGTCCCTATACTAAAGTGTTACTTTAATTTAATAAAAATGCACAAATCAATGTAATATCCAAAGTTGGTAAACTCATTAGTTAATAATAAAAATATCAAATCATGATTCCCAGAATCTAAATCATATCAGACCCCGCAAATGCCTAAAGATTCCCCCTAAAGTAAATTCAATTCGAGATTTTTCAACATGTGACCGCTGCGCATTTGCAAAGCAATAGTAAAATTAAATGACAACAACATTTCCAAAATGGCCTTTTTTTGTGTGTCAACTATTTCTTAACCAAATCTAAATAAACATATGCTATCTTAAAATTACTTCTGAACAGAAGAGCCATTCTAGCATGGATTAAAACATTTCCATTGAGATGTGAAGGGTTTAACGCACACCCATCAGGCTTGGTGTTTTGGCCCACAGCATGCATGGCTTTTGCCTCTAGGCAGCCATAGCTCCATATTGTATTTAATTAGCCCCATTAAATATAATCTAATTTGACTGAAATTTAAGACAGTTAAGTGGCAATCTACTCTGTTGAGTAAAGCTTGCATGCGCTGAAAATATTTAATTCAAGCTTAAAGCACCTTCCTGCCATGCATTTCTGTGGATAACCTTGATGGCTTCTCCACTTCTGTCAACGAAGCAAAACTAAAGCAAAAGTTGTTCAGTAAAAAGTTCAGATAATACAACCCCTCCCCCTCAAGATTAACAGCTTTGAAAAGGCATATTCAAACAAATACAGAAAACTAATAACCTTGTATAATTTAGTTTAAAAAAAGGGAAAAAGGTATTGACAAGGCTGAAGCCTGCTGACTAGCATAGGGCAGCAAACGTGTGCGTGTGCTTGATTTGTCTCGATTTGTCATATCCTGACTAGCAAGTGAAGCATTTCCTTGTCCAAGGCTGTGTGTGCTGAGAGGAGGGTGGAATTGTGCTGCACTGTGCTGGAAGATAACATGTGGCCCCTCCAGGCCCCGCACGCTAAACTGAGTCTTTAACCCTCTGAATGAGGAATCTTCTTCATTAATCCCCACACTATGTCTCTTAGCACTTGAATTTTAATGGGCTTTCTTAGCCGTTTTTTCTTAATACGATGATATTTCCACCAAACACGTCGGGTGAGGATTTCTGGAGTTTTTCCCTCTTAGAGAATTGGTTTCAGCTGCTGGCGCACTCAGGGCTGTTATGTTTCACTTAGAGATGAGAGAAAGAGAGAGATAGATGCTGCCGTCTTGCTCTAATAAAATCATGCAAGGGGTGTTAATCCCTCTTGAAGGCCCGAGTCAGAAGAAGAGGGCCTTTTGAGAGAAGCAATCCAGTCAGATCTACTGAACAGTATGTGTGTGTGTTTGTGTTGTAATAAAGAGAAACTGTGCATATAAAACTACACTCTTAAATGAACAGTTCACCCCAAAAATAACATTTTGTCATCATTAACGTACCCTCACGCCATCCCAGCCCCATATTATTGTTATGATTATTTTTCCAAAAGGAAAAGCAAGGCTGATTTTCTGAGCTGGATGGTGATTTATACTAGCTAAGCTCCAAAAAGGCTTAAAAAGCAGCATAAAAGTACCCAAATGCATCATCTTAACGGCAAGTCGTACGATAGCTTTGTGTGATTAACAAATCAAAATGCATTGATTGTTTTGGTATTTACTGAAACTCACAAATATGATTAATAATTGTGTTCAATTCAAAAGAGGCAGCTTTGGTATCGCTGATGCAAACAGAAGCTCAGACCTTCTGCCTAATGGATCTCTTTTTGTTTCACAGAAGAAAGAAAATAATGTGTGGGTTGAAACGATATGATTAGTAAACAAAACTAGACAAAATACTCATTTGGGGTCAAATATTAGGTTTTATTTAGAATCCAATTTTAAAAGAACCTTTATTAAGCAAACAGCTCTGGTCCTGGGTTGTAATTGGTCAGTGTTCCAGCCTTGCTAAAATATGTAATAGAGGAAAAGCTATAAGGCAAAATCCTGTTCACCAATATACTGTGTATATCACTGCGCAGCATCTATAGAGACCAACTATTAGTTTACATATCATGGACTATATATTCCAGTGGAATGATGGCATTTTTTTTTAAATAAAATTGCTTTTAATTATATACTGTACACTACCTGTCAAAAGTTTGGAATAAAGTTGTTGTTGTTTTTTTTAAGGTCTCTTGTGCTCACAAGAGGCTGCATTTATTTCATCAAAAATGCAGTAAAACAGTAATATTGTGAAATATTATTACAATTAAAATAACACTTTTCTATTTTAAAATGTAATTTATTCCTGTGATGTAAAGCTGAATTTTTAGCATCATTACTCCAGTCTTCAGTGTCACATGATCCTTCAGAAATCTTACTAATGTGCTGATTTGTGGAAAACTGTGATATACTACAAAGGTTGTTTGGGTTAAGCAAGATTTGAAAGAAAGAAAGAAAGAAAGAAAGAAAGAAAGAAAGAAAGAAAGAAAGAAAGAACAATTATTACATTTATAAGTATTTTATTCAGTAACCATTTAAAAAATGTTGCTCAAGTTTTAATTTGTAGTTAATATCTACTGCAAAACCTTCAACAGAGCATATAGCCGAAGAACCGTAAAAAGGTTCTTGACAAGAAAAGACTACTTTGTTGGCTCTTGAAGAGTGCACCTGTTTCAAGTATAAGTAAAAATCTTTGTGTGTGTTTGTCACTTCATAGGTTTCTCTTTCCTGCCAAGCTTCAGAGACTAATAAACCTTCCCCTCCTCCAGCCCTCAGTGTAAAACACCTACCTGTTGGGACACCCTCCTTCTTGGGGCAGATTCCTCTGGCGGGCGTCAGTCGTTTTTCCTCCTCCTCTCCTGGTGTGACCTGGATCCCAACCTCCACCGGTCCAGACCTCCGGCAGACTTCCGGCCGTGGGGGTCTGGGGGACGGGGAGCCGCCGCTGTCAGTTGGTTTGTTGAAACAGGCGCTGGGTCCGGGGCACAGTCTCCTTTTGTGCTCGATAAACACTAGAATATCTCCCAGGGGGAAGTTGGTTTGACATTGACCGCAGGTCAGCAGGTCACTCTCTCCGGCTCCGGCCACAGGGCTGGCTGTGGAGCCCTCTGATGCGTCATGATCTGCTCCAGCTGAGCAGTGAAAGAAGAGAAAAAATGAGCAATTAATGCATGACTCTATTATAAACTCATTATGGTTCATAATAATAAATGGCTTACAATAATCAATTTTGAGCTGTAACAGATCAATCTGCCACAGAGAGTTGCAAATAACTGAGATAAAATCCTGTAAGTGTGCTTCGCATAAATTTCAATATTGTTTTCATTGGCTATTTAATTGTTATATTTTCTAATCCATTGTATTTATCATTGATAAAACACTAGAAGGGTCTAAGTCAATGTTTTGCTCATCTAAATCTTACAGGATTAAACATTTTTGTCAAGTATTAATCCCATATACACAGTATATATATATATATATTTTGCAAAATTTGCTTCTAGCTACAACAGTGTGAGCAACATTTCATGTTTGCCAAGTACAGGTGAACATTATTTTATTTCCAGACTGAAAACACCTGCTTGCGTTCTCAAATTAGCCTCTGTGTGAAAATGTAGCTGATTTTACTTCGTTTTTTACTGACTGAGCTGCATTATTTTATTTCAGTTTCATTAATACTTTTCCTTTTTTAAGATTTATTGTAATACATACACAGTTTCTTTTTCTTTTCTTTATCTACTGTTTTTAAAAGAATATTCCATGATTATTTATTTATCCCTGTCATTCGTGCTGTTTTTTTAAACAATCTTAAACACAAACACAGTAGATCAAATACATTTGATCATTTTTAACTAAAAAAAAACACCTTAAAGTATTATGTGCATATCAAGCACTATATTGCAAGTCTTCAGAAATCATATCAGAGATTTGTAAGGGGAATTTAAGTTACTTGTTCATTGAAATTTTCTCCACTTCATCTGTCTCCAAATCATGTAATGATTGATGCAAAGGACAAATATCAGTGAATTTTGACTTAAAGTGTAGTCTGTCACAAAAAGCTATTACAGGAATTCAGGAGACTGAACATGAGTCAGTTTGATTACTTTTATGCTGCATATTTAATCATTTATGGAGGTTGACTGGCATTGTCACAGTGGCTTTGTATGGAAAATACCTGCATGAAGATTCTTCAAAACTTCTCTTTAAAAGAAAAAAGAAAAAAAGCATCCAAGTTTGGAATGACCTAAGAGTGGCTAAATAAGGACAATTTAAAATTTCAAATGTTTTTTCAACTAGACTTTTATACATCTTCTACATCTCTCTTTACAGCTATTTCCCTTTATTATGTAAAGCATTTTAAATTAACATTTTGCATAAAATATGCAACAACACAAATACATACTGCACGCCTTGCCTTGACTAGTTTGAATTTAAAATAGTTGGTTTAACTAATTAAAATACCTGTCAAGTTTCTAAATGACAAATTGCTGTTGGTGTGATTTTTGTTCTTCAGTTATTGTGAGCTGCAAATCAGTTTTTCAGTCTGGCTATCAAACTGGTCCAGACATGATTAACCTGCTTGTTGTGGTATTGCATGTACTGTAGACTCTAGTCGACAAATGAGTTCTTTTAAATGACTTCATGGACTGAAATTTTCCACACATTTGCAGCTATCCCCACAAATCACTGAGCGCGTCCAAAAAGAGCTGGATAGAATCTGTTAATGAAAATGAAATAGCTCTAGTATTAGCACAAGTTACAAGAGTCAAAATGGTCTGAAGCGTCTGATTCTGTGCAAAATTCACAGTTCACACAGCATAGACTAACACCTGTGAGCTGCACAGTAAGATCAGCAGAGTGTGTGTGTGTGTGTGTGTGTGTGTGTGTGTGTGTGTGTGTGTGTGTGTGTGTGTGTGTGTGTGTGTGTGTGGCACGTAGTACAGTCGCAGTCTTGCAGTGGTATCTGTGTTTCCGGTCTACTTCTCTGCACGCTGGACGGATGTTGGAGAGGTGCACATGCACCGTACAGGTATGTCGCAGCAGACAATCTAGCGCTCACAAAACCCGCAAAACAGCCTCAAAATACGCTCTCAGGCATGGGTCGCCTCGCGTGTCGGTGCATCGCAGGTGCACGTTGGGAACAGTGGTTAAGGAGCTTGACAAACAGCCGTTTTCGTCTGTGAAAATCAGTTGCATCTTTATCACCCCATACCCTCATCAAATTCCCTGCTTGGCATCTCGATGCCGTTTTTCCGCATTATTATCGATGACGAAACAGCCAACGCTCACTATTTGCTGTGAAATGTATCTGACTCAACACAAAACCACAATGAGATACAAAACAGATTTACAGAGAGCGTAAATACAGGAAAAAACAGCAGCAGTATGAGATCCAGTAGTCTCTGCCTGAGGGACAAACACACTCTTGAACACACACTGGTTGGATGTAAACTCTTATAAAATAAAGGTTCTTTTTTGGCATCTGTGGTTCTGGAGGAACCATTAACATCCATAGAACCTTTCAATGCACAAAAGGTTCTTTTTTGGTTTGTAAAATGTTATTCACACTAAGAAAAGAAATTGTTCTTTTAAGAACTGTTCACTGAAAACTGGGTGGTTCTACTGTGGCATAGTTGCAAAAAAAAAGCTTTATTATTAAGAGTGTAGGAGCCATGGGAAGAGCAACAGTAACTTAACTCCTGTAGATTTTTTTGCCTCAGCATGACATTTAGATTCTTTTAAAAGAATATTCTTGATCTGTTTTAAATTTAGAACCTCTATCACAGATCTAGCCAAAGTCTTGAGTTGAGCAGCATGTGATATCTAAACAGAGCAGCGCATGCACGATCTGAAGGATGCCTGCGAGAGCACACACTCAGCTCTCTCGCCGGCTGACAGGAGACCCCCAGAGCAGTGGAGCAATGCCAAGAAGGAGAACACAAGCATCGTGGGCTTGGCTTGGACCCAATGCCACGGAATTGGGCACGGAGGCATCCACACCGTCCTGAACGGGCCAGACGCGAGCAGTGCACACAACAGAAGAAGGTGTATGTGAGAGCCACAGGTGTACAGCAGATGATGTGTGTGCTGTGATATTTCCATCAGAAGCTGAAACTTAAATCTTTATAGAAAATAGAAAGTGTGTAAAGAAGCAGTATAGCTGATATATCATTACGTACACCATCAACTTAAGTTTTCTATTAACAATAATTCTGTGAATTTATAGATATTTGCTCACTATACAGTGGACTTAAAAAAGTCTAAATTTAAAATCTTGGATCTGCAATATAATTTAGACTAGGAAGTGAACATTACATTTTGAAACAAAGAAACATTATGCTGTATAATGTGCAAGATTCTTCACTATTCCTCTTTCAATAATTAGAAAAGCTGATTCGTTACACCGATCATGTGAACTTTAGACCAAAAGTCTTGCACTGAAATATGAGACGATCTTTGAAACATTCTCAAATCATGCAGCACAATGTAATCATCAGGGTTTTTTTGGGGGGGGGTTTTTTCACAAACTGTGGAACTCATGCAGCTCGAATGCGGCAGTTATTAAAGCAAACTGATTTTCTGAAAGCAATGTAATTTTTTAAATAATATGATGTACAATTAAAAACAAATTAAAAAGTGAACTTTTATTAGTGGTCTAAGATTTTTGAACCTCATTTAAAGTGAAAAGAGGAAACGATTTACGTGAAGAGGAAATCGGTACATAGAAATAAATAAAGTGTGCCACAAAACAATCTGAAAACAAAAACAGTGAAGAAAATACAGTTATTTATCTATTTTTTTTGTTTTAGCATTTTAATAACACAGTAGTAATTAGAGTAATTAGTAATAAAAAAAAGCATTTGTGATAAAGATCATATGAAAAACTATTTTGATTATTAATAATTTTTAATAATAAATCATTTGAGGTCAAGTCTATTGTGGTCATGGCTCTGAATTAATAATTTAAAAAAACACAGCGGACAACTAGCGCATTCAAAACAAAGATTACGAGTGATATGTATTTGCGGAACTGTTAACGTCTCCAGCATGTGTTAAAAGATTTTGTCTAATGTGATTTCTGAGCTCACCAGGTGCATATCCAAAAAAATAATCCATGTGCTTGATAACGTCTGTTTCTTATCTTCATTTAAGGCCTATACACTGTCAACTGCTTCTGGATGCGTGCCAAACAAATGTGCACAATGCATGTGTGCGCGCTAACGACTCTTCCGAACCCCAAAATTTCACATAAAGCTGTGTGCTGGAAATCAGAACCCCAAATATTGCTTAAAAACTTGGTTGGAGGCAAGGACACGAAATGTTTAGGAGCAATGAGCACAGTGGGCACAGCGTCTATATTACTGCTCCCCAGGGTGAAATCTATACTCCAATAAATTGAATTAATTACCTTTAGCGTAAGATAAGAGATTTATACTGAGCCTGTTGTGGGAACGATACACTTGGGAGGAGAGATAGCAATTCAGGGTATTAACCATTATAAATACAGTTATCACGTTTCCTGAAGGCAGTAATCAGATTCTCAAAGAAAACACACACACAAACACACACCCTCTCTATCACTTTCCCTCTCGTAAGGACTTACAGCACCCCCTATCAGCTTCAACCGTGCACATTTACACTCCACTGAAGCTGTGCAAACCAGCAAACACGACGCTCGTAAAATAAACCGAAATATTGTGCAGTGGAACAGAGACTCGCCTATAATATTTGCCAAGTCAGGTCAGACGAGTCCGATCAGCGGGTAACCACACGTCCATCAAACAGCTCTCGGCTCACACGGTCTGTGAAATAAGTTCTCTCGAAGGCAGAGCCAACACATACAAAAAGGGTGGACATCACCATTAAGTCGCTCCTAAAGAAGAGAGTCACTTGTAAAAGGCTGATATGACCCTTTCCACTCTTAGAAATCAAAGGCGCTGTGGTTCATGCCTTGCGTTTTATTAGCATGATGACCAGCGGCCTCTAAAAGATCACATCATGTGAGCATTCAAAGAGCTGACATTCACAGCCATTAAAGAGTCGTTTTACATTTTAAGAGCCAGTAAGGGCCCTAATGGACAGCCCCCACCCACATTTGAACGTTTCGAGCAACCCATCCAAAAGTCGAGCTACTCATGTAATGAATCATACATGTTCACACAATATACATGCGACTTATGAAGAAAAAACTAAACGAATGAGTTTCTTTGGCACTGAGGCGGTTTGCGGAAATCTCAACACGAGCGGTTTCGTCTCTTAGACTTCCTCAAGAGCCCTGCCATTTTAGCTCGTGGCTTGAGACGTTCTCTTTAATGCACACACCTGTACGTGTACATGCGGGCGGAGAGTGCGCCCCGCGTTTATTTCAAGACGTGAAGTATGTTGATATTCCTGTTCCTTGGTTTTCTCTTTGAGTGCGATCAATAGGTCTTGTCGCTCCGGGCAGAATCTCTCTATTGTGCAACCTCCAGCTAACTGACATGTTTTGTGCCAAAAGCATTGACATAGCCAAATGAGGGCACTTTGGTTTTCCCCTGCAGACAGACTTACAGACAGACACCCCAGAAAGAGCCCGTGAAGACCGGAATGGAGGTTGGCGTGCAAACCTAAAACGGAGTACACTTAAAAAGTGTCAGTTTACACTCTGTACACATGCAATAGAGTGTATAGAGCGCACAATGTAAACTGACATACACACACCGACAGACTAATTATGTTTGAACTAAACACGTATTTGAGACACAGTTTAATGATTCTGCTCAACACTGGACGGGTTTTGCTGTTCATATTTAAGCAAGCAATAATGTATGAGATGTTTCAGTATCTATTAGTCACAACAACTGGAAAGAAACCCAAAAATGTATTCTGAGACAAAAACTAAAACCAGCTAACTATCTGCTTAATAAACCACATCAGGTGAAATAAACTGGCAGACTAGCAGTGGTTTGAATTTAAAGGCCACCGGCGCTCTGTAAGCCCACCCACTCCTTTAACACATTTTACTCAACTAATGTCTTCACGTTTTCTAAAACGACAACATAAGCATCATCAACAGTGCAAATTTTGACGTGTAAAGACCATCTACTCACTACTGAATCAGATATTTTCAGGAAGGCACGCCTTCGCATTGTACCCACATTCTCAGTGAAACTAGAAATACCAAAATGAATAACAAGGCAGAACGCAATGAGCATCAAAAGTCATGGAAGATCAAAAAACAAAACCAAAAAAAAAGGCAAACATTTCTAAAAATAAAATCATTTGTAAAATGTTTTAAGAAATTTTACATTTTTATCAGGAATAATTTGATACACATACACACCTTGAGGTTAAATAAACTGAAAAATATTTGAAATAGAAGTTTTGGAGTTTAATTCACAAATACTAATGAATCGTCTGATATGCAATGCATTAACCGTGGATACACTTTCCTGGTCTTTTATTGTTTATGGCTACAATCGCTATTATAATCATTTGTGAACATTGTGTAAAGATTATATCATTGAGCTGTTATAAATTAGACAGAATAAGTCTTTATATATATATATATTTTTTTTTTTTTATGATGTTACTCTCAATAATTTACATTGCAGCTAATTGATGCTTTTTTATTGTGCAAGAAAAGCTTTTAAGGGAATAAAAAAACTTGGCAAAAGAAAACTTAAATAAGGGTTTCGAGTACTTGATGCTTTTACATAAAGTTTTACTAGTGGAAAGAGTGTGTAAAGCATCTTAGATAAAAGGATCAATTAAAGATGAACATAAGGAGTGTGTTGTTTTTGGACGATCATGCATGTGCACCCTATTGTAAAACAGAGATTATGATCAAAATAAACCAATTAAAAATGTATCAGCACTTTGGTTTTTAAAAGTAAATAACCACCAGACTATCCAGCAAAATCGGAGCCTTTTAAATAAACTACATAAAGTAAACTTGATAAGCCATGTATGCTTGTGCATATGTGTGACAATAATAGAAAATAGGTGAGGAGTGTGTGTGTGTGTGTGTGTGTGTTGAGTGGGACAGAGCAGATGAACGCGTGGGTCTCACAAAACTGTATGTTATGAATTACGGTTTTATGTTCAGCACGTCCAGTTTGTTGAAATCAATTATTCACAGCAAATGAGAAAAGTATCATCATAGTAGAATGCATTGATAGTGTTTAAAAGAAATAAATAAACGATCAAAACGAGCAGGCCTCAATTGTTGACAGATTATCAATCAAAAAATAGCTTAAATGTAATAAGAACCAAAAAATTATTTGTGGCTCTAATTAAGTTTAGTTAGGATAGTGCACATAATTGCATTTTGCAAAAACAACTTATAGCCTACCTACACTAGGCAAACGATGGTTTTACGAGCTGAAGGTCCTAAATGTTTAATGCACGTGTACATTAAAAAGCAAATCATGTTTAGTTACAGACATCAGTCTGCAAGAATGAAAGCAACTTTGCTGTGCCCCTATACTTCATATTAATGAGGGAATGGCAGTGCTGCCAGTGTGATGAAGGTGACAGTGGTCTTGTACTCACTCGGTAGGTTCTCCCTCTGTGTGAGGGACAGATGCTGTGGGTTGCCTTGCTTCCGTCGGGACATCGCCCCGCATTTACAGCAGCATCTCCCGGACACTCGGACTAATGTGCGCGCTCCAGAAGACCTCTCCAAACTTTCCTCCACAGCCCTGGTACTGTTCCACCGCGCTAGTCTAGTCGTTATCACGGCACAAACTAACACTTGTACTCTGTGAACAGACTAAATTGCATTCGACTGTCGTGAGGCACTAATTATGTGCCACTTGACCTGAGATAGCGATGCGTAACAATCACTCCGACCCGCAGCAGCGTCTTTAACCTCGGACGACCTCAATTCCAAAAACAGTCTTAAAAGTCAAATATTCTTTCTTTAAAAACCCCTAAAACGTAAATGCAGTTGTTGTCCTGCTATAATGGAAATCCAAGATCCGTGGACGGCGGGCTCGCCAGGTGAGAGAAGTCTTTGGCACTGTCCTCCATGTGCGCTTGGCATCAGAGCGCAGAATGGCTCAACCTCTGAAGACAACACCTCCTCTCCAGATCAATCAGGACCCGAGCAATTACGTCTCGCATTCACGCTGCTCACAGGGAGGACCCAGCGCCTGTGTGTGTGTGGCAGGGGTTGCCTCTGAAGAATGGAATGGGATTCAAGTTCAAGTACGGACGTGATGTGACGCGTGGCGCTGGGGGCGACTAGTGGTGGCAGTCTGGGGACAGAGGGGTCTCCTTGTCCACCAGCAACGCTCCCGTCACTGCACACTGTTAAAAAAAGACCCTGCAAAATTTAGGGGGGGTTGGGGGGGGGGGATCAGACAGCTTTGGTTGCAAGAAATGCACTGACAATACGTTTTAGAGGGATGGCATTTGAGTGCTCGTTTATGTTGCAGGTCAAAACCGTGCATTTCATTAAATGAAATAATATAGCCTACCAACATACTTCAACAAGTTCAATTTGATTTGCACAACTTGCTGATAACAGAAGAGCACATGCTGAATTAAAAGAGCTACACAAACACAAAACCCCATCGGGGTGACATGACGCGTGGTAAAATAATGCAATAAACATTGCATAATAACCGAGTAAGCAACCTAAAACACTGCAATGTATAGAACTGGTGATAAATAAAATAGTTTATATGGTAAAAAGTGATGTGTCACTTTTTTGGACGTCATTTTACAGGTTTTCACTCTAAATCATCAGGTAAAACAGGCCTAAATGTATGTTTTAATATTCTAACATGTATTGTTTTGTTATATAAAAATATTGTCGAATATTTTTTCCCGTATTGTTTAATTCTTAAACATTTTAAAAAAGCAATTCATGCTTTTTATTTCACTTGTAAAGTGTAAAATAAATGTAGGACTACTCTGTTGTCCGGTTAAATCGAAAAGTACACTCTAAAAAATGCTGGGTTAAATGCAACCCAGTGCTGGGTAAAATAGAGACACACCCAGCAATTGGGTTGTTTTGACCCAGCGGTTGGGTTAAATGTTTAACCCAACCTTCTGGGTAGTAACCCAACCGCTGGGTCAAAACAGCCCAATTGCTGGGTTTGTCCCTATTTCACCCAGCACTGGGTTGCATTTAACCCAGCGTTTTTTAGGGTGTAGCCTACCTAATAAATTTTTACTTTTAACTTAAAAAAAATAATAATCTCAAAACTTCTTAGAATGTCGCGAGGATATAGCCTACTATATATAATACTGCACAATTTTATAGAAATAACGTAACAACTAGGTATTTTAGCGAAACTAAAGTAGAAACTGTGCTGTATATTTTAATAAAATGCTGTGCTTAAGAAAATAAAATATGTTACTAACATCATGTGCTGTCTTTTGCATTTAATCAATAGTAATAATAAAGATAGTAATTCATAAACCAATCTGTACTACACATTGTATATCCCCAATGCTGAGAATCAAGTAATTTTGTGTGCTAGGCCCCCTGCACGTGTGTGTCCTGTTTCCATTTAAGCCAATAGCGCCACCTGATGGTCTTTAATGGACCTAAAGCGTGTTCACTGAGACGAGGGTTAGGGCAGGTTTCACCACATCTGCTCCAGATCAACACATATAAGGAAAAAAAGAGCATAGAAGAGACCGGGGCTAGTTGTCACACAGGCTGTATTAGTCCATCTTATAATGAAAGTTTTGAGTCCCATTACATAGGCCTAAATGTGTTTTTATTGCAGTTGTTTTCTTTGTTGGTCTCAAACACTTAAGCCATTTTAGATTTCACTTTGTGAATCATAACTATTTTACAATTTTAGGTATATGTGCTTGTTAGAGAAGCTTAAAATATCTTCAAAATCGAAAGTAACTATAAAATCCTATAGCATATCTTAATATTAGAGCCTACAACCAATTTGTTAAGCACATTTGAGAGATTTTAATTAAAAGACATCTTGCCTTCTTTCCATCACAGCAGAGGAACTATGATAAATGGCATATCACTTCACACTGAAGCAATAACTTGCAAACAGTGTATACAGTCATTGTAGTCAAGCCCCAGAGCAAAGTCAGATTCATCAATAAAACATGATTTTTTTCCATTAACGGTTACCGTTGTTGCCTCTGGGAGAGGAACACCATTATACAATGGCAACACGCAAGACACTGAAAAGAGTTTATGCTGTTAGTTTGGCCGTGTTTCAATGTGACTTGCCTACATACAGGTAGACTGCATTTTTTGGGCATCACAGACACGTTCTCACATGCTCACACTGCTCAGTGACCTGGAACGCATGCATGATGTAAAAATACTCGTTAGGTTTTGAAACACTGTCTCTATCTTCACTCTGAAATGTGTAGATGGTGATCAAGAACCGAACACGCCATGCAGGACTTTTTGGGACTCAGAATTTGTAGATATTTCTGTAAAACTCTTAGGTTGACCAAATAATGGCAAACCTACTGCACGCTTGACAATGACATATAAGCATCCAATAAACATCTCAACTCTTTGTGCCAAAAACAAAACAAAGCTTGGTAAAGCCAATGTAAACATAATGCTATGAAAAACCAAAACATCAAATAAACAATAAATAAAAATGCGTTTTATATTTCATGTATTTTTTTATTTTATATTTATTTTTTTATAATAATAATAATCTAAATTTTGCATTACACTAAACAGACTCAAATGTATCAAATAATATGATTAATGAAACCCTTTTCACACAAATATAACATTTAATTGTTATTTATACACGAGGCAATATTTGCTCCTATGTGATCTAATTATATTGAAATAAATGTGATAAAGAAACTATAAACTATTCAACAAAAGGCATTTAATTCAAACATTATGAAACAGTTCATTAGTTTAATGTAGTTATTTGTCTTACTGTAGGCTTAAAAACAGTTTATCGGCTGAAACGAAACATCTGGGTATAATATTGTAAATATGGTATGATCTTATTAATTATTGGCCTTTATGTAGTGTGTCATGTCCACAGTGGACTGAAGATCTGACTTAAAATCGTGGTCAATTACTCCCTCTGGTGGAATCATTTGCACAACTCAATCTTCACAATTCACTACATTTTTTACTCACAAAAACTATCAAGCCTGGTCAATTTTAACATTTAAAATCGATAAACATGCACTAAATTGTGTCTTCTAATTTGTCAAAGCTAAATTAAGTACTGTATAAACAAATTTAGAACCTCATTTAGAACCATTAACAAACAACAATTAATAACAATGACAAATGTGACCCTGGAGCACAAAACCAGTCAGAAGTAGCACGGGTATATTTGTAGCAATAGCCAAAAATACATCGGATGTATCAAAATTATAGATTTTTCTTTTATGCCAAAAATCATTAGGATATTAAGTAAAGATCATTTTCCATGAATATATTTAGCAAACTTCCTACTGTAAAAATATTAAAACTTAATTTGATTAGTAATATGCATTGCTAAAAATTCATTTGGACAATTTTAAGGTGATTTTCTCAATATTTAGATTTTTTTTGTACCCTCAGATTCCAGATTTTCAAATAGTTGTATCTCGGCTAAATATACATCATACATCCATGGAAAGCTTATTTATTCAGCTTTCAGATGACGTATACATCTCAATTTCAAAAAATTGACCCTTACGACCCTAATCCCAACATGAGCCTGTCTGACACATGAGCAGTCATCTGTTTTACAGGGACCATGGTCATAAAATGCATAATTTAATTACCCAGGTGTTACCTAGTCATTCTGTGTGAGCTACTAGTGATCAATATCTTTTTTTTTTTACTTTAATGGTCAAAATAACTAGTAGTTCCTGAAGGGTGACCAGGTAACACGAGTAGTAAGGGTTTCATATGTATTTCACAAATAATTATTTATAATATAAACCTGATTCCAAAAAGGTTGGGACACTGTACAAATTGTGAATAAAAACAGAATGCAATGATGTGGAAGTGTCAAATTTCAATATTTTATTCAGAATACAACATAGATGACATATCAAATGTTTAAACTGAGAAAATGTATCATTTTAAGGGAAAAATAAGTTGATTTAAAATTTCATGGCATCAACACATCTCAAAAAAGTTGGGACAAGGCCATGTTTACCACTGTGTGGCATCCCCTCTTCTTTTTATAACAGTCTGCAAACGTCTGGGGACTGAGGAGACAAGCTGCTCAAGTTTAGGAATAGGAATGTTGTCCCATTCTTGTCTAATACAGGCTTCTAGTTGCTCAACTGTCTTAGGTCTTCTTTGTCGCATCTTCCTCTTTATGATGCGCCAAATGTTTTCTATGGGTGAAAGATCTGGACTGCAGGCTGGCCATTTCAGTACCCGGATCCTTCTTCTACACCATGATGTTGTAATTGATGCAGTATGTAGTCTGGCATTGTCATGTTGGAAAATGCAAGGTCTTCCCTGAAAGAGACGACGTCTGGATTATATATAATTATTTAAATATGTGAACATTTTACATATATTTAGTATTTTTTAAAAATCTTATTATAGGGAGCCTTTGCCGTGACACATATGGTCCCACATATTTTAATGTCATAACAGTGGCATCTCAGTAGTGCACAATCATTTGAATTATTTTTAAACTGTTTCAGTGTTTCAAAGATTCAGTGGTTAAAGATTAAGAGATTTAATTTACATCAGTGAACCAACATTAGTCAGCAAGCACCTTCAGTTTTAATCTGAACATCTCTCTGCCATAAAAAAAAACATACAGCAATGAGTTGGCTCAACAACAACAAAAACTAATATTACTGTCATATCGTCAAGCTATTAACACACACACACACAAAAGTACGTCAGCTGCCAATCATGCAAAGAGACTTTTTGGTGTATTGTATTTTAAGTATCCATATCAAATAGCAAATCCAATGAGAAAACTATAAGAAGAAGAATTATATATTTTTTAATATAAGTTTAATTTAAGTTTAAAATTACTTATTAATTTAATTATTTACTTTAAAAGACCTTTTTTTGCATATAAATTAACCACTGATGGAAATAAACCAAAAAAAATGTCCTGGGGCAGGCACCCCAAAAAATAATCTATATTGGCTTAAAGTGTTAATAGATGTGAGCTGTCATTGATAAATAAATAATTGCAAAGTTTAGATTTTATTTTTTATTATACT